GGGCCATCCCCGCCGTAAGTCGAGAACATACCCCCGGTCCCCGCAGCAACTCGAGAAAAACCATGAGACTTCCCCCTAGAGGCGAGATGAGGCCTCATTCCCCTGCAGTGCATGCAGAGCTATTCCGTGATCCCATTCAAACAAGTCAGGAGCTTCGACTTGCTTAATGGATCTCGAGACAGTCCCCAAGAACACTGTCACCATTCTAGACGGACCCTGAGGTCACCCCAGCAACGCAAAGCAGCTCCATGTGCAAAATCAACTCGAGGTGAGGCCCGATTCCCCTGCATTGACTCCAGAGCCATTCTCCGTTCCTAATTCAACACGACCGGTGTCTCGAATTCCTTCAGGCAACTCCAGAGATGCTCCGAGAACACTCTCCCAAGTCTAGAAGAACACCAACTTCAGCACAGCAACTCGAGGAATGCTCCGTGTACCCCAAATCGTCTCGAGATGAGAGCTGATTCCCTGGCTTAGGCTCAAGACGTATGCCAACTTTCCAGATGCACCTCAGGAGGAGGCTTCTCTTAGCAATAGGTATGTTGGAGGGACCCCGAGATCGCGGCCTCAAGGGGAATATACAGCGAGAAGCCCTAACTTGAAAGGAGGCCGGATTTCCTTGCAGTGGCTTGAATACAGGCTCGTCTTTCATCTCACAACATGAAGGGATGTCTGAATCCCCTGTGGAGACCTTAGAGAAAGCCCTAGGTCCCTGCCTCATTGTGACGGAATGCCTCATATCCCGTTGACACCTCGAGAGGCACGCGGAGTTCATTGCTTCAAAAGGTGACGATGCCTGACTCCTCGTGAATACTGATAGGAATCCCAAAATCCCTGTGGCTACTGGAATGGGTCCTTGGGTGCCCTGCCTCACCTGGAGAAGCGTCCCTTTTGCCCTGCCAAGCCTCGAAGAGATTCCTGAAGTTTCCCTCATTACTAGACCGGAGTCCTGACGTCACTGAAGAAACTCGTGTTTTGAAGGGCCATACCCACCGTAACTCGAGAACATACCCCAGGTCCCCGCTGCAACTCGAGAAAAACAATGAGACTTCCCCCCAGAGGCGAGATGAGGCCCCATTCCCCTGCAGTGCATGCAGAGCTATTCCGTGATCCCATTCAAACAAGTCAGGAGGTTGGACTTGCTTAATGGATCTCGAGAGAGTACCCAAAAACACTGTCACCAGTCTAGACAGACCCTGAGGTCACCCCAGCAATGCAAAGGAGCTCCATGTGCCCCAAATCAACTCGAGATGAGGCCCGATTCCCCTGCATTGACTCCAGAGCCATTCCCCGTTACCCATTCAACACGACCGGTGGCTCGACTTCCTTCAGCCAACTCCAGAGATGCCCCGAGAACACTCTCCCAAGTCTAGAGTCACAGCAACTTCAATACAGCAACTCGAGGAAAGCTCCGTGTACCCCAAATCGTCTCGAGATGAGAGCTGATTCCCTGGCTTAGGCTCAAGACGTATGTCAACTTTC